CGGCTAGTGCTTTTTCTTAAACCTGCAGGGTAAGGACAATGATGTCCTCCTTCCGATTCCTTTGATGCCATATAGGCTGCATTATAAGGGGTAAAACAATGGCTATAGCCTCCAGCCATGTCAAAAAGTACAAAATACCTTTAACAAAGATAATTATGAAATTGTCAAAGGGTTACCTCCTCATTAACGTTAAGACCACGACTCCTTGCGTGTTCTCTGTCACATCGGTGAAGATTGTTGTTGTAACCCTCTGGTCTTTTAAACATGGAATCATAAGTGGAAACATCTCCTGTCTTGAGAAAAGGGGAAAAACCGGCTAATTCGCAGTATCGCTTAGATTTACAGGTTACAAAATATATGTAGTGGACTCAATACTTAATAACTCAATATTTAATAACTCAATAATAATTAATAACAGTGCACATATAGAATTAGATGATGGCAACTGTAATATTACTGAGCTACCGTTAGCAAGTTTGGGTCACTCCTTTGGAACAGTCTGCAATAAAAACACCTAATGACATGTGGCATCTTTTTAAAGTCTGTTCAGCTCTGAAATTTCCCTCGTGGCAATTTACCTCAATTTTTCCCTGTAATCTGTTGTAACTTTTGGAAATTTAACTGTTTCATTTGTTTGTTGTTTTTACTTTTCTGAACATTATATTCTCCTCTTGATTGCATATATTTGTCAAAGTGCATAAATTTGTCAAATCATCTGGCACTGGAATGTAAAAGGAAAGCAGGCAGTTTCAGAATTAGTCTGGAATGAAAAAGACAAAGGTATCCTGCAGTGGAATCACCATTTAATTTCTGATTAAAGCAGAATTAAGGAGAGTTCAGAAACAGGCCACAGGGGTAATCCTGTGATCCAGTAGTATGCGTGTGTCTGTCATGTATGAAAATACAGCACACCCCAAGCCAGAATATTATCATGTTTGTGATATCTGTTGACATAGTTGCATCCAAATAAGCAACATTAAAGATCTGGTCTGCTAACAAATGAATTTTTGAAATCCAGTCAAGAAGTTCCCAGCAATGGAATCAAAGGAATTTCAAAAGAAAAAAAAAATTCAAGGAAAGAAAAGCAAAATCCTCTGTTGAAATATGCTGTCAGTTGTTAACGAACTTCATTGATGTCCATATTCTGGTAAACACGTCAATCGATCACTGGTTTTGTGCACTGCTGACTACAAATTTGAAAAATTATGCATTTTGTTGGGCTTTTTTTTAACTCTAATTTCACACTGTGCCCAATTCAGCCTTTGAAAAACCCTTGTATTTTGAGTCTTACAATTTACAATGCTATCCTCCAAAAACAGTCAAGTCGGGGCAGGTGAAGAAGGCTATAACGGTTCCATTAAAAGGAAACCACCGGTAAGGGCGCTAGTGAGGCACTGCTGTCTTTAGGACAGGTATCTCAATTACTCGGTTCTGCCAAGAGGAGAGGTGGTTTGATATTTAACCTATCCATCCCTTCATGCCTCAGAAACCATCAAGCCTCACACAACTTCAGGCACGTTCGAGAGCATCCTGTATCTGGTTTGTCACCTCCATTCTGATTATTTCTGCGATTCCTTGCTTCTCCTTTTCTCCCCACACTACCAGTGTCATTCAGAATTTTAGTGGGCATCTAATTTGTGCTCACCACTGGGAATGTTATTTGCTCCTTTGTTTTTATTCATGTGGCATTATTTCTTCATTATTTGTTACCTGTGTCAGAGCAGATTATTCATTCTTTGTGGAGCTCGCAGATAGGTAGCTAGCATGTTATGTTAAAAACTAGCCCTGTCCCAGATGATCTCTTTAAGATCTTCTGCCAGATGTGCAGAGGCAACACTTCTGTGCTCAATATATTGACAACTTTTTGCTGTTGTTGTTAAATGCTGAGTTAGTTGGGCTAGGTGGTGGCAGTGGGGAGCTGTTTCTTAAACACATGGGAGCAAGTGAATCATGCAGAGACAATACATTTGCACGCGGGGTGGGCATCCTCTGTGTACTGCTACTAATGCTAAGCACTTTGTAAACATTCATTAATATTCCAGACACACATAAAATAGGTAATAGCTTTCTCCATGTCACAGAAGAGGAAGCACCACACAAACTGGCTACAGTAACTTATGTAAAGCAATCGAGGGAGCAACTGTCAGCCAAGGGATTAAAAAGCAGGGTTTTCTGGCTTCTGGCCATGTACTGAGCACATCTTCCTCTATTTCTCTCTGCTTCAGTCTCTGTACACACAGTTGGGTTTAGTTATTTTAGCTGCAAAAAGGAATGAAATTCCTTTTCCTGTATAAATAAAAAATTTCTAATGATCCAATTCCTTAATTGTACAGAAGAATGGGTTGATTCTGCTTTCTCCCCTGTGGCCGAAGCCTGGGCTGTGAAGAAACCTATAAAACAGCTGTTATCACTTTTTGTTTCCATGCCACTGGAGCAGCATTTTCCACAAACCAGGTCACGGGGAGTGTGAAAGCAGACTTTATATCGTAAGCAAAAGCTGTACCATATGGTTGCTAATTCCATGCAGATTGGATAGACTGCGAGCTCCACTAGCCCCAAGCGCGCTACGCCAGCCCCATGACCTGCCCTGGCCTTACTCTTGCTGAACTCTCCCTACCGTGTTTTGTTAAGCACGGCACTAACTGTGCCCGCTCACCTTTGGCTCAGAGCACCTTCCCAAGGTAACGCTGAAATCAGCATGAAAGAGTCTGAAATTACAAACCTATCCTTTAGCAGTGCCACCCAGTCAGTGCTGGAAATGGCTTTTGCTGTTCCTTTAATGCCCAGCGCTGTGCTGTGCTCTTCACCCTGCCCACATCCTGGGGCCACACAACCTGCAAACTCTCACAGGTCACCAGTTGTCGCTCCCCAGTGCTCCCTGGGTACAGCAGCCTGTCACTTGGGTGGGGAGGGGATTCACAGCATGTATTATTGTAAATAAATACATGTTGCCATAACATTGCTATATTACATCAATAGAATAGCCATTTCAGAACTTTTAGTGTTTTTTTTTTTTGGGGGGGGGGGGGGGGGGGGGAGCCATTAAGTTCAATGTCTCATACGACTCTCTTCAGAGAGAGAAAGGTTTGCTACCCAGGAAGTATGGCCCAGCTGAGGCTGAGGGTGTAAGGTTGTTCTCACTTCTGATTTTAAGCATGAGGACAGGGAGAATGAGGGAAAAGGGCGATACAATGCAGCAGAGAGTGAGGGGCGAGGCTCCCTGCTAGTCTCCTTGAGTTAAGTGTCAGTGTAACACCTTCAGAAGCATTCAGTTATCAAGGCATATATTGATGTTACTGGTCTGAGCAGCTCTCTTGATTTTCTTTATTAAAGCTGAGTATACGGAAAATTTGTGCGATGCACACTGAAAACCCTTTCCCTCGACTGGAAATGGAGCAGTTTCTTATCAAAGGGTCCCCGAGAACATGCGTTACCAGAAAAAACACTGGTGCCACATCCAACCCCAGTGACAGGTGATGCCTTTCCTAGTGTTCCCCCTAAAGACAGCTCGCATTTTGGTGACACCAGGTGGCCTCTTGGTCCTTAATCCTTGGCAAACCACGTCTCTGCCTTCTCTTGCCATCCAGTGAAAGACATTACCCTCATTTTCCATCCACAAGTAGCAAACACCCCGTACACTTGGCAAAGGCCTCTGAAGATACAAACCTGCTGTTGAGGCGTTAGATAGCCTAGCTGGCGGCAGGTGCACAGCGTTTCTGCTGGCCTTTGGAATATTCAGGGATTTTTTTCAGGCACCCGCCTGACCAGGTCCCTCACGATGAGGGCCGAGCCCTTGCACCGGGACCGAGGACAACGTCGTTAAGCTGCACAGAAACCCACCGGGAAGGCTTCTCCCTCCAGAGCCGCCCGGCCCTGCCAGGCTCCCCGCCACGGCCTTCCCTCCCTCACCTTGGCCTCCCGGTGGAAATAGCTGAGCTCCGGAGGCCCCTCCCGTCTGGCCGGGATGTGGCTGAAGGCGGAGAGGGCGGAAACGGGAGGCCGCCTCCT